TTACGACAAAGGTAATGTTTAGGTTTATCCGTTCTTCCAAATGTAGAACAAAGCTGAATCTCTCCTGCAAGCATTCAATTTCCCATCCACTTCTCCCATTCAAAAAATCCAGTCTGGGTAAATCATGATGTATGTAGATAAGAGGTATCATCTGTTTTGTGGTTTAAGAATGGTTATCAACTGAGCTTGTCCTTCAAAAGTGTGCAAATACAAGTATATTAAAACTGTTTTTGTTCTTTTCTTGATTCAAAGTTTTAAAAGAAAAAGAAATCTCAAAGGTATCAATGTGGTTCGCATGGTGTATAGGCTGTCAAAGTTTCATTTCGGTACAAAGGTGACTATAATCTACAGAAGCTATATTGACATTTAAAGTCCCTCCTTAATGGTATTCATAATATATTTTCTACAACTTCTAAAGGAGTCGAATATCAATTTAGAACAACCAGCCACATTACAACGGTTTGAAGAACTCTTTGTACTTTTCATATCATTTTCGTACTCCTCATCATGCAGTTTTCCTTTTCTCGTTCAGTCCACTTGTTCTCTTCTTATATTGTTACAAATGCTATCATCAACTATTGTATTATTATTATTATCATAATCATTATTATCGTTGTAGTTGTCGCTGTTCACAATATCATTATGATTATCACTACTATCACTACTACTATTACTACTCAGAAGCGGATCTAGAGGGGGGGTTGGGGGGGTTGCAACCCCCCCAAAAAAAAAATCCGGGGACCATTTTTTTAAATCTTATCTTTTTTTTAAACTTGTAATTTTATTTTATTCTATTTCTATGTATTTATTTCATTTATTATTATTATTATTATTATTATTATTATTATTATTATTATTATTATTATTATTATTATTATTTTTTGGGGGGGAGGGGGGGGGGGGGGGGGGTTGGGCGAACAAATGTCACAGAGTCCCTTGCCAGGCGCGGATCTACGGGGGGGGGGTTTAGGGGGTTTAAACCCCCCCCCCCTTGGGCGGCCCAAAAAAACAAACAAAAAAAAAGGGGTAAAAAAAAAGGAAAAAAAAGAAAGAAAAAAGAACGCACGCTGGAGAGAAACCCTTTCAAGTGCAAATATTGTGAGAAGATATTCAACTCATCTGGTAACTTAACCAAACACATGATAACTCTGGATATAACTGTGTATTTAACTGTTACTTGATTTAAAAAGACGTTATCATGCACTGCTTTTTATGGTCTCCATTGTGTTAATAGATGCCAGGAAAACATCACTTACGGGGTTCAAATAAACCCCCCCCAAAAAAATCGGCTCGCCGCTTCGCGGCTCGTGGACGATGCTCCGCATCGTCATTATTTTGGTCAACCCCCCCCTTAGCAAAAAGCTAGATCCGCCCCTGACTACTACTGCTATCGTTATTATTATCTAATATTAGTAGTATTAGTATTATTAAGAAAGCATGTGTATTCTTGTAAATAAACAACCGAGGGAACCGACGGTTGTAAGTCCTTTCCGGTGGACTTGGCAATGAGAATGTATACCTTATAAATGGACACGAGCACACTGACTTAGTTTCGAACCCGGGACCTTCTGGGTTACGAGACCACTGCTCCACCACTGAGCCATCTTGCCTCCTCCTATATGGCTCATACAGAGAAATCAATGGCCTCTGTGAAATGTATGTATGTATATAAATTGACCATGTTTCTAAGTGTGTTTAGGCACTAGGTTCATATTCAAGAACTTCGAGTTATTTTTGTTGCAACTGTGATATTTGCATCTTCCGCCCAAATGCCTAAATATTTCTTGCTTTGTTGGGTTATTTCAAATATTCAAATAAATCTCCATCTGAATTCAATCAATGATAATTAAATGTAATGTAAAAAGATACGGGAAATATAAAGCCTCGTTTGTGTATCAATGAGAAGAAAAAAATCGTAGGTATGAAAGGAGCAAATAGATTATTAACTTTAACTTTGACCAGAGGTACGAATAAAACAGAATAAGTAGGATATGTTGAGAATCAAAATTCCCACCAAAGTAATATTTAGATGCCGCTCACATACATGCTATCTCTCAAATATTATTCATAATCTGGTTTACATTATGACTAAAACCTACATACTATCAGAATTAATGGAAACAAACCAACTAACATCGTATTTCTGGTGTTCCTCTGTTAATACTTATCAATTATTTACAATCGTTTTCTTGACGTGTATAGTCCTTAGTAAAATTGTGTATACGCAAAGCGGGAATTAGCCAGTGCAATTTAATTAAAACGTCTAAAGGACTAGTAACATATCTTTAGGGACATATCATGAGGAATAATGGTTCACAACATCTTGGAAGCATAAATACAAGTATATCTTAGGTAAGCATGACATTTGTTTACATTAAAGCCTCTCTAAAGTGTTGGGAGACCAAAAGATTTGATGGCAAACATTCACTTTAATTGTATAATGAAGGGAAAGAGGATGTCATTTAACAATGACTTCTACGAGGATTTTCAGAATAAATGTGTTTGAAGACGAATATTGATGAACAAAAACGTAATTTAGGTTTTACTGAGTACAAAACAAAACCCTAGCTTTGTATTCTTTCACCAATATTCGTCTTCCAACACATTTGTTTTGAAAATCCTTGCAGAGTTGAGTGTTATATGACATCCTCTTTCACATCATTCACAATTTAAGTGAAATTTTCCCTCAATTTATTTTAGCGAATTGGTGGCTCCCAATTTAGAGGGGCTTCAAGGTGTAACCAAAATTCAAATGCTTTTTTTCTATTGTAGTTACAAGCTCATAATGATAGTATTTATTGAATATACAAGCTTTGATAACTAGAATGATGGTTCAATCCCCTCTGTATATCTGTAGATACGCGATCAACAATCGTATCATGTTGATTAAACTAAGGATCTAAACATTTTTAATATATAGCGCGTATCTTTAATATCATAAATATACTATTATAAACAGTAAGGATATCCTGGACGGAAGATTTGAAGTATTACGTTAAATCAAACCTAATGTTTTTTTTTGTTTTTTTTAATGAACAATCTTCAAAGTTTTAAATTGTTCACTTGTAAAGTATTCTGATTCCGTATGCCTAAATGAATAATATCTCAACACAGTAATGTTGTTGTGTAAATGAATATAACAAATGTAAAAGTAATGAGAAAAAAGAAAGTGAATTATTTCCATGGTCAGATGTTTTAGTTCTTTACGAATAACAAAACTTAAAAAATTAAAAATGATTAATTACAGGAATAACTGCTTGGGTTGTTTTTCTGACACGTTCTACTTAGTGTTTTAAACTTTATTTTATTATATTTTATTCCTTGCACATTAATAAAATATTCAAATATAGTCAAAATATGTTGATTTTGATGAAACTAATAAATAGCAATGTCATAAAAGGCATTAAAGATTACAATAAAAGTGAAATTATTTCAAAGGTTTAGACTTTTGATGTTAATTATCTGGTTTATTCCATTTCAAATGCCTTCGTAATAAAGTTTGACTTGCAAATCAAGATTATACAATTGAGTTTAATATTTGTAATAAATTTTCGCTGAAGCACAATAATATTCTACCAAATAAAATGTATTCCTTCACGGTGATTATAATTATATGCCTTTGGAAAAAAAGAGAAATAACATTATGGGGAATAAATTTACCATGAAATAATGTCCAAATGCTATTCCAAAGAGCTTTGATAATTATTACTCTGGTCTATAAAGCAACATAAACAGGAAAGAGTGAAGTAACACCCGTGTGTATTTTTCAAAAAAGTATTTACCATGTTTATTAAAATCAAAGTATTTTACCCCGTAGGAGTAACACCTTACAGTAGTTAAGTTCACCACTGTAGATTCCAATGTTTTGACACTGTGGTGATAATAGTGTTACAATTGTGCATCCCAATTATTTCCAAACTATTTGTTTCATCATTATACACGCACTCGTTTTCTAACAGGAGTCACCCATACCATAACAAAGTTGACGGTGATTCAAATGAAATTCAAACGGTTATGATTTAAATAAAGAAAAGTGTACACTTCCCCTTCAGTGATTCTATGAAGGCCCTTTTTGTTGCTAAATATCGAGTTTCTTGCGAAATTTAAATATTGCGAAACAAATCTTCTGTTCTGCAACCACATGCTGAAAAAGCACAATAGAGACGACGACACGTATACTATTGTGTGAAACTTCCATTCTGCTATTGTACTTAATCATTGTTGGCAGTTTTACGCTGTAATATTGACTAGTTTTCAATATTTATTACATGTTAGCACATTACGTAGCTACCTATTATGTGTAGCAACCGTGTTGATTTTTAAAAGCTATTTTGAATGATTCGTATCTTGTTTAAGTTACCAATAATCGCTTCAAGTCCTGGGCTTTTCTTACCATATTTTTTTTTAATTTATGTGTTTGTCATAATGTTTATGTTCCTTTATTGTCAAGATTCAAGATCTTGAATCTTGAATCTTGTCATAATGTCTATGTTCCTTTATTGTCGAAGTATCTATAAAATGATAAACCAACGACATAATAAATAATGGGTAGATTTACTTTACAAAATTCCTGTTGGTAAATTATTCAGCTTAATTTCTTTTCTTTAATTAGAAACTAACTACAAAGTTAGGGAATGGATACAACAGAAGCGTTTATCGTCAATAAAGAGATATTTCTTGTCATCAAACTAATGTAGCAAAGCAAAATTTGGTTCATAAAGATGTCCGTATTCAGTGGCGACAATTTGACATTATATGACGTTTAGCTACAAGTAATTAGTACAATAATTATTATACATTAAGCATGTTTAGCGTAATTATTTATTGAAATAACGAACTTTGAGAAATGGATACCTCAGAAATATTTTTAGTCAGCATCTTTTGTCAGTATTTCTCTGGCACCATGAATATTAATTTTTAGTCAATAAGAAACATGATTAGGCAGCACTAATTCAGGTCATATCCAGTTTTGTTTAGAAGGCGAAGAGAATGTTTCTTACCTGGGGAGGGCGGCATGTCAACGTCATCGAGGGGTGAGTCACACGTTTGGCCCATGTCATCGTCGTCATCATCGTCGTCCTCGTCGGCGTTGCACCCGTCACCACTGCCTGGAGGAGCAGCCCCAAAGATGGGACCCTGAGGGAGATAGTTGTAAGGCCCACTAGGCGAGCAGGCCCTGAGACCGAGGATAATGGCGTCTTCTGCTGCTTGCTGTCTCTTCAGCGCGACCTGGGCCGCCATGACTCGCTGTCTCTCCGCGATCAAGTTGCACTTGGCGCATCGGCAGTCCCTGAACCTGCAATGTCTCTTGTGCCCTTTCAGCCAGGATATCATGCCGTGGTTTCGGCACCGGGCGCACTTGGGCTTCCGTGCGCCTTTTTCGGTCAGAGGCCCACGGAGCAGCGAAAGCGTGCGGATGTCGATCCGATCCATGTCTTGATGGTGGTTCATCAACGATTTCGTGTCTCTAAGCATGGGATGAGGAGGAGGAGGAGGATGATGAGGAGATCGGAAGAGGTCAAAACGAGCCACGATGAAGAATCGGTAATTTCACGATGTCCCTTTCAAAGTGATTATCTTAAAGTTACACGCACAGATTGAAGAACTTCCTTTGAGTCAAACACAGCTCCTAGTTAGCAAAATGTCTTCAAACTCGACGTTTTCAGTAGTCTTAGTGAGACAGTATCTCAATGCATGCTCATCTACACTTTTGCATGAAATATATCTTCTTCTTTTTTGTTATCAATGATGATTTATATTCCCTCCTCCGAAGTGATAGTACGACGATGGAAATCAAAACAAAGTTTCTGAGAACACTTTAAAGTTGTATCATCGACGTCAGTATCAAATATTCAATACATTATTTCTAAAAACTCTCACTAATAGCAATCCATTTTCAGAAATGAAGGAAGATGGAATATAGCTAATTTGCTGTAGGAATCAGGAAAAAGTGTCAGCTGGCACTTGTAAAGGGCATCGAAATGGTAGATGATCGAGTCTGCGGTGGGTATATATAAATATCTTCCGAAGAGAATGACCAGCTAGCAAGTAACAACGGTCACACTATCTAAGTTCTTTTAGATTTATCTTCTTTCCCCCGTGGGATGCTGCTATACGACGACGGACCTTTTTGCAATGCAACCGACCGAACGTCCAACTTGCTTCAAGAGTTGTACGAAGACGGACGGGAGAGAGGGGGTAAAAAAAAAGTCTCTTCGAGTTGGATTGCTGTGAGCGTTTATCGAGCAATTAGTCACTCTATTGATTCACTTGCTAAGGACCCGCACGGAGGTTGGATCGCGAAGAACACACACACACACACAACAAAAAAACTCGACGACGACTTACTTTATGGAGGCGTTGATTGGATCCGTCAACTGACCAATCCGCGGGCCTGTACCGGAACGAGTGTTCGCCACTCGCTCTCGCTAGAGGGGGTAAGAGTACCTGCTGCTGTATCTCTCTCTCTCTCTCTCTCTCTCTCTCTCTCCTACCTCTCTCTCCTACCTCTCTCCCTCTACTCTCCTTTTCTCCCTCCTCTCTCTCTCTCTCTCTCTCTCTCTCGTTTCTCTTTCTTTCTCACTATATTAACTTTCCTACTCGCTCTTCTTCTACATCCCTTTATAATCAACTTGTTCTTTCATTCTTTAAATTCTCTTGCAGTCTTTTACTGTAATTTACTCTTCATGTGTATTTTCTATCCGTTATTTTATATATCGATCCTTCTGATGCACTCGACTCTCTCTCTCTCTCTCTCTCTCTCTCTCTCTCTCTCTCTCTCTCTCTCTCTCTCTCTCACTCTAACTCTTCCTCCATTAAATGTCTCTGCCCATATTTCACTGATTCTGTATCCATGTCTTTCTTTACTTTTCTCTTCGTCTCTGTGTCTCCATCATTCGCATGTGTACATGTCTCTCCCTCATTGACTCGATCATAAATGTATTAGTATCATTTTCCCACCTATACTCTTTCTTAAAAACGGTACTCCTTTCCCTTCTCCCATTTCTTTCTCTTTCACTTTCTCTCTCACATTTCCTCAATCTCTCTACTATTTCTCCTCTCTGTATCTCCCTCTCACTTCTTCCCTATCTCTGTGTATTCCTTCGGCTCTCTCTCCCCCTCTTCCCCCTCTCTCTCTCTCTTGTATTCTTTCTCCATCTCTTTCTTCATCCCCCTACCTCTGGACCTGTCTCCACTCTCCCTCGTATATATCACCTCTCACTCTCATTCTTCATTGGGAATATGGATGTTTGTTGGTGGGTAGATGGAAGGGGGTAAGATTTTGAGGGTGAGATTTTGAGGAGAGGAGGGGATCATGGCCAAGTTTGGATCGGGGATCAGGGTACGTAAACAAATGGGCTCAACCCGGGTAGCATGCCAACAGCTGAATATATACATCCAGACCAACATGGTTTCCGGTCCCCGGGAAAACTGGAATGTCGAGTCCAAATCTTTCCTGCTTCCCCGACACAAAAATCTCGTCATATAAAAGTGAAAATACTGGCAAGAAAGGGCGATCGAGATTGGGTAGAGGGGAGGGGTAGTGTTGGCTGGCGATGGCTTTGACTTTTCCCCCATCGCGCCTCTTTAGCGTTCGAATCTGTCAGTGCCCTTGTATGTTTTTGGTGCGGTCGTGTACGGGTGAGTTGCGGGGAAAGGTGCGGTATTGTTGGCACACTACGCTGCAGACAATTTGTCACTTCTAATGGAGGCCCGATGACTGACGCCCGCTGATTGACAAGTCACGGCCTCAGATCGGCTTGTCATTGGCTGAATGTCGTGACCCCGTGATCGCTACTAGCGTGACGTCACAGTGGCGCCCTTGGCCAGCGATGAGAGAGTTGAAGTGGACAATTAATGTAGCAGTTCCTTTTTTCGATTTTCCAATATCTCCCTTGGGTCCGGTCAAGGGTTAGGGGTTGGGTGAAACTCCCAAAGTTGTTTTAGTGTTTGATGTTGTGTGGTTTTCATGGAGGTAGGGAAGCAAGGGAGTAGTGGGGAGAGGGGATAAGAAATTCAAAGTTTAGGCCCATGTACATGTACACCGCAATTCATCATCGTCATCGTTGTCTCAATCATCTTATAGAAACCGGTTCGAATTCTACGGTGGTCGATGATCACTTCAAATGCAAGAACAAAGGTCGAGTGATCGTCTTCATATTCTATCATTGTTTAAAGAGATGAAACAATGTCATCGCATTTATTCCATGACACGCTTTACAATATGTCAATAGGCAAATGCTTCCACTTTATTTTCATAGCTAATTTTTCTCAGTTTCGATACTATAACATATCCCATTATTCTTAGAACATGGTTGGTTATTCTAAAGCATAGACCTATATTTTGATTTAATTATTTATTACAATTTGGGGGGGTGATACACTCACCGAATGGTGGAAAATGCAAATTTTATTATTAAAAAAAAAATGAATAACTTGACTTTGAAGAGTATTATACGGCGTTCTGGTTTAATTCTAATATTTTCTATTTAATAATTATTCCCTTCAAATTGTTGATACATCTTTCCATTACAATCTAGTTCTATTATGGATGTCATTTTGACCCAGACCTTCTCCTACTCTATATATTATATTTGTGTCTTTATATCAGATGTCGGAATGTTGCATAAGGGGTGGAAATGTGTTTCTTTTAAATGTGAAAAAGTGGTATCCATTTAGTTTTTAAATATCTTTATATCTACATGCCAGCCCTTGTCAGCAACTCTGTATAATATTGCCCTTCTTTAGCCATGTAAATCTGAATGACTCCGAATCTCTAAATGAAGTAAAATCAAAAGGACAGACCTGCCAATAAATTTGATGTATTCAAAACTGAACAATACATCTACAAAATTATATCCGTCAGAAAAATATCACCAAATAACACCCTCTAATGATAAAGAAAAATGACAATTGAAATATTGAATTGGAATAATAACACTCTATTCAACAGGCAATTCGTGATAATAATCGTCTACTTGTGTTTGCTCTGCTAAAATTGTTATGACATGTGCGAGTTTAGCCAGCCAGCGATCCATCTCGCCCCCGAGTAGCGGCCCAGACACCCGGGCGCCAAGCCCAGAGTACCTGCAAACAATGAGTATGTATTTCATCATTGTTCTATTTTAATACAACCTTCCTTGTTTATTCTGTTCGCTAGAAACCGAAGGATACTATCAACGGAGAAAAAAAAGGGAGAAAAGAATCAACTTATGAGAGGTTCGGGGGGTCTTGGCGGGCTTTCGCTGTATACGCGCAGACGATAGAGAAAGAAGAAAACATTCCGCGGAAAGCCTTGTTCGCTGCCTAGCAACCGGGCTTGCCAACTGTTTGAGAATGTTGAAAAGTAGCAATACATCTCTTTATTTTGTGTGAAGGGCTTGAGCTATCTCATAGTTCCATCACCAAAGTTCAGAAATTATAACAAGTGCATGGATTCAATCATCGATGACAGAGCTTGTTTGAGCTAATTTTCTTAAATTTCTTCATTATTGCTGTACCAATATTGAAGCGGACGAAATATATAATGTAACCGGGAGATCAATGAGGGGTAATGGTATGTTATGAGATGAAATTTATCATGAGCCATTAACTACTCTTATCAATTAGACACAAAGGAAAATAAGATAATAAAATACTAGAAAGTAGATAAATAAATATATAGGCCTATGCCAATCCAATCCATGGTTAGGATGCATTGATCTAATGATATAAATGTTAATCCATCAACATTCATCATGGCTGTATATTAAGTTATGCTAATATATGCCAATAAATCTCCATTCTTTTAAGAAGAAACAACCGACATTTGTAATTTGTTTTTACCATCTACGGTGTAAGTATGTGGTACTCGTGGTATTGATAACTCTTTCCCCATTCTGCAAATCAAGTTCGTATTTAAACCATGAATCTTTTTCCATTTTTGTTTTAGCCCTCTCTGCATGATTATTTCGTATAATGATTAGGATTAATTATTCGGCTGTACGCATACATGGGGAAGTTTTGTCACCCAGGAAAATCCAACCTTAGCAACAACACGATTTTAGATGACCTATAATAATATGTTATTTATGAAATATTTTAAGCAGTGCCCCAAGGGAGAAGGGACTTAGGAGAAAACATTTTGTCTGCTTTCATACGAATGAAATTAGTACAAGGGTCGGATTACAAATTAAATAGGATGTACACTGCCTCTCTTAGTACAATGCAATGTTTAGTCTGGGAGTATAGAAGGCTCGAAACGATATGCATATTAGTACTTTAATATTAACAAGCCATTCAACCTATCCTTTAATGCCTAACTCTTTTCTCAATTCTTACAGTAACTTGGCATTATCTGAAATGGGTGTTTCCTACTCAAGCATTTTCTTTCCTCCTTCTGCTTTTTGAATTTATATACTGTTATGTTCCACTTTGTTATTGTTAGCCAGTTCGTCAATGAGAGAAATAGATGAATGTTATTTTACAATTAGCGTTGTATACAAAAAATTAATCGCCTATTTGATCACGGTCATAGATTTGAGGATAATCATACTTCAGCATATTTAGTGTTTCACCTTGAACTACTCAAACAGTACTCGGTGAACATTTAATTGGTTCATATTTATGTTATTACTTTAATGGGTATATATATTCATGTTATAGTGAGTAGAGAGGATGGGGCCGTTCATTAAAAAAGAGATCTAATTGTATTTATTGTAAAACTTTAACAGTTAATTATAGTTATCTGAAAGTCGAATAGTAGGCAATTCAAATGTTTGACCTTGATTATGGCATCTTGATATTAAAAAATCAAGAGACAATTTTTACCCTCTCTCTCTCTCTCTCTCTCTCTCTCTCCCTCACCCTCTTCTATGTATCTATATATTTTCACCTTATCTATCTCTCTTCTATATTATTTCCCTTCCTATTTCTTTCTTTCTCTCTCTCTCTCTCTCTCTCTCTCTCTCCCTCTTTCTCTTCCTCTCTTCCCTCTCCAACTCCCTACCTCTCATCTCCTTACATCTCTCTTTCTTCTCTATTCTCTCTTTATCAAATTAAGGAATCATCTTTGAAACAATCTTCTCGTCCTCACGCCATTATTCTCCACCATATCACCAGATCCAGCCTTGCAGTAGGTAAGTCACATTAAACCATCAAATCATCGCTCAAATCGGTCCAAAACTCTATACGAACAACTTGGAACACACACCCCCAAAAAAGAAATTCTCGCCACAAAAGTAGTAACACGAAACAGTGGCATTGTTTGCACCGGTGCGTGGCGGGTACTCAAGTAGCCTGTCT